TGACATGCTAAAAAGGGTTTATTCACCTCTCATATTCAATAGTAGGGCAACCAGATTAAAGGAATCGTTTTATTCATTTCCTAAAAAAAAATATTTTGTGACTTACGTCACTTCTATGGAATGCCACAGAACTATCAACGAAGATATCACGGCTTGAAGCCTACGGTGCAGATAAAAGCTGAAAAGTAGATCGGACAGCGTTGAACGGCACGCCCGGAGATCGAACTTTGTTGAACGGCGCGCCTGGAGATCGGACAGTGTTGAACGGCGCGCCGGGAGATCGAACTTTGTTCGTAGGACGCGTCGCGCTCTTATACGGTAGACAACTCTGCCTGTAGTGTATAGCTTTGCAAATTTCGACTCCTCTAGAGTGAATGGAATTGTTATCCTGCTGTGTCCCTCTCCAATCTCTGCAACTTGCATCTTAATTTTAATCACTGCATCAAACTTGTGCAGGAAATCAATGCCAATGATGTGTTCCTTGATGTCTGCCTCATAGGTCATGTGTTCGAATTTCTGTCCTTCAATCTCGAATGTGGTCATTGCTGGACCATAAAGACTCGCTTTGTGTGAGGTCTCTTGTTCTAGGGATTACTGTAATAACAGCTGCAGTATCTAAACAAACTTTTTGTGCTTTATTCAAAATTGTACATTTTATCATTGGTGCTGAATTAACACTGCTAGTATTACATACATTACAAGGAACCTCCCGGTGACCGTCAAGCTCACTCTCAGAGTCAGAAAGCTCTGTTAAATTAACAAAATCTGGAGTTTTGGTCACCGGTGGTTTTACATAAACTTTTTCAGTCTTTTCCTCTACTTCCGTTCCAACCGTTTCAACAGAAGTTGTTTCTAGTTTTCCTGGTCGTTACTTTTTCCTTGGGGACATAAGGACTCTTGCCCTTGCTGGTAGAGGGTTGCTGGTCGTTTTGCTGGCTCAAAAACCACTGCATGGTGGCCTTGTAGAGGTCGGGTGGAACGTTGGGCATGGCGAAGCCTGAGCTTCCCTTGCTGCTGCCAGCTCCACTCCGGCAGTTCCGCGCCATATGACCCTTTCTGCCACAGGTGTGGCAGACTATGTCTTCTATGGGGGTCCTGCCTTTGTTGTGCCAACAGTTAGCGGCCCTGTGGCATGTTGCATACGTGACAAATCATCTCCTTGTCAGAGCCTGACCAGCCACCTCTTCCCCCTCTTCCTGAGCCTCTACCTCCTCCTCTCGGTCCTCTGCTGCCTCGGCCTCGGCCATGCTGGGTTTGAGCGTCCGCTTTGGACGTGGAGGCTGAGCTGGAGGGGAAGACCATGTTGACTTAGTAGGTCTTCTCCTCTTTAGCTTCGTCCTTTTCCTCAATCAATCCTTCCTCCTTCTCTTCTGTCTTGGTGAGACGGACTCTCTTGGCCGGAGGTTATTCCAACTGGAGGCTTAGACCCCTATTGAGGGTCTTCAGGGCCTCGTCCAGGTTGGGCAGAGCTGCGAATGCCAACCGGGATGCTGCCTTCTTGTCCGCTAGGCCCTTGATGAATCTCTCCACCAAGGCCTCTTGGATATCTTGTTCCTTCATATTGCGAAGGTACGCTCTTCCCAACCTTTCCACTTGACGGGAGAATTGTCTGACAGTCTGGTCTTTCTCCTGTGTGAGCGTGTTGAAATCCTTCTTTCGCTCCCACATGGAGGCGGACCTGCCGAAGGTTCGGATTTGAGCCTCGTCCAGACTCTCGTAGGTGATCGGCACCTCCTGGTGCTTGAGGTTTGCGATCACATCAGTGGCATTCCCCGTCAGGGCCTGGATCAGGGCCGTCTTGCGGTCCTGGGTGTTCCAGTCGTTGGCCTCCGTGACCGTATCAAATTGGATTTGATAGATTGTATAGTCCGTTTCGCCGTCGTACTTCGGTGCCTCATTGTACTTTTTGGGTTTGTTGTGACCCACGGTCCTGGCCATCGCCTCCAGGAATCTTGCGAACAACTGATCTTGCGGCGGTACCTGCGCCTGCTCATGCTCGTGCTCGTCATCAGCGTCTTCCTCGGCATCGTCGTACTGCCCATGGCCTCCGCCCCAGTGTCTCATCCGTCCTGCTCGGGCGTGTCTCGGGCCACGGTGATGGTGCTCTCTCTCCGGCCGCTCCAAGTGGTACGGTGCCCACCGGCAGCGGGGTCTCCCGTACTCTCGGTCTGGGCCCTGGAGTTCGTCCTGCTCATATTCATCGTCAAAGTCTTCCTCTTGGACTTGTTGTCCCTGGTGCGCGGCGGCGCCTTGACGCACTTCGGCGCCCTGCTGCTGTTCTTGGTCTACTTCTTGTTGGCCTTGCGGCGCTGGCCCCGCACCTTGAAGTGCTTCTCTCTCCTGTCCCTCTTCACAAAGACGTCTGGGTGGTCGTCGTTCTCCTCGTCGCTGCTGTTGTGCCCGTAGAGGACCTTCACCTTCCTCGATAACGAATGCCATAACTCGTCGGTATCGCCCGCGGCCTCGTCCACGGCCACGTCCGCGTCCTCGTCCTCCACGGCCTCGACGTCCACCTCTTCCTCTTCCTCGTCCATACTCCTGCGCCATGAACATGTTGGGCGCGCCGGCGTCGTCGACCATGTTGACAACCTCGGGTTGTACGGCTTGAGCGCCCTGCTCAGCGTCGGACTCGCCGACTGAGAGGTCTGTGTCGGTGTCCGCGTGAAGCGCCATTGCGTCCATGGCGACGTTCTGCTCGTCCATTCAGGATCTAGGTTCTCCTTGTCGACCTTTATGGTCAGGTTTTGGATTTCCGGTAGGTGCGCGTGTCGAGCAACTTGTCTCTGCATGCCTTCCTTTCGGACCCCTTAAC